TGGCTTTGACAAGCACTGTGGCAATTGGACAATTAAAACAGACATGGCGGGGGAAGAAGAACGAACTGGGGATGAAGGTGGAGAAAACAGTGCAACAATGAATGAATGAAAACCCAAAATCTCTGTAAGTGTTCATTAAAACTAATAAAATGTAATAAAAAAAAGAAAAAAAAAGGAAAAAAAAAAGAAACGTTAGAAAAAAAAAAGCATTATGTTTTCCTTTAGACAGCTTCTTTCTATATGTGAAGGGGACTCTGGTGGCCTAGTGATAAGAAGCTGTGCTACCAGCCTGAATCCACCAGCTGCTCCACGGAGAAGGATGGGCCATATCTTCCTGTGTGATTTATTGCGGCTGACCACCCCTGGAGGGTCAGCTATGAGTTGGTTCTGATGTGATGGGACCTAACAGTAACAAGGACAAATCTGTGTAGTGTCTACATGTGTTCTGCTTGGTTGCTGACTATGCCTCACATACATAGAATGTGGTATTGGATTCATGACTTGTTAATGGTGTGAATGTAAATTGAGCTTCTAAGAGAAACAATTATTTTATGTAATAGTGAGTGGCTCTTAAAGCAATATAATTTGAATAGTTTTTCTGGTTTTTAAAGGGAGAGAGCATTCGAGTTTCCTTAATTCTAGTGGTAGCCTGAAGTTTCTATTAGGAATTGAACAGATACTCAATTTATTTCTATAGCCTGTGGGGACAGGAAAACATAGTTATGGGAGGAGAGTAAGAGGATTTCTTGGGGCTTGAGTTTCTATTTGCCTGATCTATTTTCTCCTCCAACTCATTTTTTCTTTCTTTTTACTTATCTATTTAAAATTCTTCTAAAATTTCAAGCAATGATGAAAATATATTGAAAGAATATGAAAAGCTTCTCCTATTTTTCTATCTTGTTTCCTAGGTCCTCTCTCTGTCAAGATCCTTTTAATCCTGGAGATAAATAAGATGAATAAAGATTCCTAGGATGAGATGACTAAATGTCTTAGAATTAAGAAGCGTAATTTGTTGTTTTCCTTTTCTTTTTTTCCCCTAGCGTCTCACTAGGACTAGTTTAATTTTTGACACAGAGCCTGGTATAAGTTGTTGCGCTATCTTTAAATTTTTTTGTTTATTTATACTGTTTCTGTTATGTAATGAATTCCCATAGGTCTCTATTGGCGAGATTTTTTTCTCAGCATCATTGAAGTGCTCCTCTGCTACTGCCAAACACAACTCTGTTTGAATACTATAGTTTTGTCCTATATTTTGATGGAGTAAAACCTTATTATTTTTTTTTTTATTCTTTTGAAACTGTCTGAGACACTTAGATATCCGAATGATTTTTAGAACTCATTTGTCAGGTTCTATGAAGAATATTTTTCAGATTTTTGATGGTATACACTAATTTAGGAGAGAATTATGTCTATTAATTCACATCTCTAAATGAACAACTGCCCCACAAATTGCTGTCTGTCAGATACTCCTCTAAATCTGAACATTCAGATTAAGACAGACTAGGAAGAAGGATTGGCCACCCACTTCTGAAATAGCAGGC